TCAGGACTACTTCCTCGTTAAGTGGAAAGGCTATCCTACAAGTGACAACACTTGGGAACCTAAGAGAAATCTAAAAAATGCATCCAAGCTGATTCTAGAATTTCTTTCTAAGAAAGCCACCTGGCTAAAGGGCAGGCACACAGCTAACAAACGTCCTTAAGAGGGGTATCATGTCATACTGACATTCGTTGCACTCAGTTTGCTATCAAACTCAAGAGCAAACTTGGAAATCTCCTCCTCAAACCTACAAGTCACTATACATATTTTGGCTTATCACACCAACAACAAGAGCAATACTACTCAACGATTGCTACAACCATCTATGATTCATTACATGTCATCGCTCTTTAGTTACCCACAAGATTGGTTAAGTTATGACATAATTTGTCTATGACATAATTTGTCTATAGGGGTACTCTGACCTTGGACCTCCTTTTACTTCCTATAGGCTACGAACCTAAGAGATGGTTCTATGGGATTCTCTTACGTCGACTACAGTTACCAAGCCTGGTAATCATGGAAAGTCTTGGAAAATGAGAAAACTACACTCCTTTAGCATAAATAGGAGTGCCCTTTCCTTAAGAAAGGGCAAGCAGACAATACAGTAAATCGACTATCACATACTTCCACGTCTTTTCCAAGCTTCCAAGCATTCATCTTGTTACTCCTTGTTTCTGAAAAGTCAGTGAGGTGTTAACCTCTGACTTACCCCTGAGTTCCCAGACTCAACATTTGTTGCAACTTGTCTGAACCACTTCAGTACATCACACACCTGATTGCTGCGTTGTGGAATAGTCTAAGCTACGACCCTTTGGCTCTGTTTTCTAAGACAGTGTGTTGTCTTAGTAAATTCATCCCTTCCTTGGGTGGCTAGATTCTCACATCTGGTGCACCCACCATTACACAGTTCCTGGGTGCGGGCAAAGCCGAAGTGGCCCGCGTGGGGATCGTCGGTGTGTTGCACCTCGCTGGTGAGCCACCGCGATCACAGGTCGCAGCTGGTCCCTAACGGCCTCGTTATCACTACACAGCCAGAAGTGTAGCCCGGGTAGCTGTTGGTCGAGGGTGGGGTCGTCGAGGGGTTGGTAATCCGGCCTCCTCGACGGCCCGTCCGTGGGGTTGGCTTTGCCAGGGTGGTATTCGATGTAGAAGTCGTAGCGGGCAAGCGACTCCACCCAGTGTGCTTGTCGTCCGTTTAGGTTCCTTTTGGTGATGAAGTACTGGAGGTTGTTGTGATCGGTATGCACCCGTACTGGCCTCATGCTGCCCCGGAGGTACTGACCCCAATGATCCATGTCTAGGATGATGGCCAGGAGCTCCTTGTCATGGGTGTCATACCTGAGCTCTACCGGGGAGAACTTCTGGGAGAAAAACGCTATTGGGTGCCACTTCGCCTCCGGTCCGGTCCCGAATAGTTGCAATAGAATCCAGGATGTGGCGTACCCCGAGGCGTCCGTTTCCAGCTGTGTCGGTAGTTCAGGCTCATAGTGACATAACATCGGGGCAGTGGTAAACTGGGCTTTTAGCATGTTGAATGCCGTGATGGCGTCCGGCGTCATGTGAAACTTGTGCCCCTTCTCAACCCCGGTTGTCTTCAGGAGGTTGGTGATCGGGCCTTCTACCCGGGAGTAGCCCTCAATGAAGTGGCGGTAGAAGTTGGCGAACCCTAGTAACACCTGGACCTCCCTAATCGACCTGGGTAGCGGCCACTCGTCCATGGTGGCGACCCAGGTGGGGTCCATGGTGATACCCTGGGGGCTTACTATGAAGCCGAGGAACTCTACGCTGTCCATGTCAAACACGTATTTTTTGAGGTTAGCGTATAGTCAGTGGGTTCGTAACCAGTTCAGGACCTCCTGCACCGCCCCTTCATGGTGCTTCAGGTCTTCAGAAATGATCAGAATATTGTCTAAATAGACGACGCATGTCATGTCTACCAGACCGATGAGGGCCTGGTTTATGTATGCCTGGAAGGTCGCTGGTACGTTCGATAGCCCGAACGGCATGACAAGGTATTCAAAATGGCTGTACCGGGTCCGGAATGCCGTCTTCCACTCATCCCCCCCGCGAATTCGTATCCGGTGATACGCATCTTTGAGGTCGAGTTTGGTAAAGACCCTCGATCGGCGTAACCGGTCGAGAGTTTCGCTGATGAGGGGTAACAGGATACGGTTCCGAATCGTAACTGCGTTCAGGCCCCGATAGTCCACACAGAGCCGTAGGCTGCCGTCCTTCTTTGGGATGAACAGGATTGGGGCTCCTGCTGGGCTGATTGACCTTCGGATCCACCCTTTCTTGAGGCCCGCGTCGAGGTACTCCCATAGCGCTTCGAGTCCGGTTCGCCGAGGGGGTATACCGGGCTCCACGGAGGTTCCTTGCCTGCCTCCATCTCGATCTTGTGTTCCATTGGGTGGTGTTCGGGCAATACTCCTGCCTTCTCTGCGTCGAAGATGTCAGCATAATCCTGGTATCGGTTGGGAAGGGCTGTCAGGGCTGTGTCGGCGGTAACGACGCCGATGCGCTGCTTTCCTACTGCGCCTTGGGTGGGGACTCCGCCCCCCGCTCCTTGAGTGAGGATTCCGTAGGCTCCCCCTGCCTCTTGGATATCCTCGTAGAACTGTTCAGGTCCTACCTCTCGGACGGCCCCCTGCCATGTCGGGAATCTCCACGTCCCGTCCTTGTAGCCGATCGTAGGGTCTACGTCCGCCAACCAAGGGTACCCCAGGATGAGGTTCACATCTAGCCCATCGAACGCGCAGGCTACGAATTGGTCGCGGGTCATCAGTGACCTGTCCGCCCCGTCCATGGCTTTAACAGGCAGGTGGTGGACACCGTAGGTCCACACCTCCCTTTCCTCGAGGGTCGACAACCCCATGTCAGTCCCTTTGCTAGGCTCCCATCTGCACTCCACGACTAGGGATTGGCAGATGCAGTTCTCCTCTGCCCCGCTGTCAATCAGGGCCCTCTCTGTCCGCGTGGTCCCATTGGCGGCCGTAACTTGGACTGCGATCACTAGCCGCCTGCGTGTGGGTAGCGCCCCGTCTCTGTCCCGTCGGGTTGGGGCAGTGGATATCACCGCTGGGACTCGCCTTTCCCCGTCAGGCTCTGGCAGTCCAGGGAGATATGACCCTTCTGGCTGCAATTGTAGCAGATAGCCTCGGGCCACTGTGCCAAACGGTGCTCCACCGAGCCGCAACCGTGGCACCCGGTGCCGCAGCGATCCCCCTTCACGCCCGCCGGCGTGCAATTGGGACTTGTGGCTGGCCCTCTCTTGTGGCCTCCCAAGTCCCGCTCCTCATCCCTTGACACAATCTGCGATCTCCCCTCCAGATCCGGCTGACTCATTTTATGGTGTTAGTTCAGACTCGGCGGTTTCCGACTTGTCGACGCCAGGGCTGGTTCACAAAGAGTATTTTGATCCTGCTTCCGTCCAGAATTCGCAGGTCTCGACCATAGCGCAACGACGGATCTCTATAGCCGACGTTGTAGCGCCCGCGCAGGCCCATGAGAGGAAGCCTTCGCGTCCTAGGTTTCCCGTTGGTGGGGAGCCACAGTATTACGAAGAAAAGCAATTTTTCTTCCCTGCCGCGACGGTCGCAGGTGTAAGGACAGTTCAAACCGATGCTGACCTTCGAGTCTGCAGAAGTATCCGAAGTATAATGTGAAGACTTCGATACTCGAAGCAGTAGGACAAGGTATAGTAGTTCAGGCTCCAAAGCATATACTTTATACCACAGGGGTCAAGTGGTGCGACTAACAGGTTGGCCAAGTGGTTCAACTCAAAGTAAGGGAATGCAAAGTAAGTCGAAGCAGGAGGAATTGCAAGAAGGCCAAGTAGTGTATAATTTGCTAGCTAAAGATCAATAAGAGACACGAGCAATAAGTGCTTATATAACAGTAAAAATCCCTAGTGCCAAATAAGCGAAGGCACTAATTAACTGAACCCTAGCTAAGCGAGCCCTAGTGAAGCAGCCAATAACAAGAGAGCCTAATCCAGTAGTCATTTTGGGCTGATCTAGGTCAGCAAGTGAAGCGAAGTGAGCGAAGTGAGCGAAGCAGGTGAAGCAAATGACATAGTGAAATAAGTACTAGAGACTAAAGCGAATCGAAGGGTCATGACACAAATATCGAAGGAGTATCGGTGGGAGCAATCAGTATAGTATTCAACAAACTAATCTCTAAGCCCCTTCTACTAGGGGCTTAGCTACCTTTATCTATTCCTCCAGAGTTGGGCCCCTACGGTGGTACTTGGGGTTGAACCCCCGCCGTCTCGTAACCGAGCCGGGGCCGGGTGTTGCACCCAGGGCCGGGTGTTGCACCCCAACAGCTATTAGGGCCTAATGGACACCTTAGGCCATCAGGCCCCAGTAGTGTTCTCAGACAGCCTTGTGGCCTCAGGCTGCCTAGGGTGCTATTGTGGGTCCTTAGGAGCGGTGTCCCTGACACGGACCCATGGTCGCCCCCATCCGTGACACTTAAGGAGGAGATTTTCTTAATAACTTGTTCAATGAGTGTCCAAATGATATGCAGATGTAGTAGAAGAGTTTGCAGCAATCATTGAGTAGTATTGCTCTTGTTGTTGGTGTGATAAGCCAAGATATGTATGGTGACTTGTAGGTTTGAGGAGGAGATTTCTAAGTTTGCTCTTGAGTTTGATAGCAAACTGAGTGCAATGAATGTCAGTATGACAGTCGGGGTTTCGAATCGTTCACTGACAAATAGCTCACTGTCGTGCTGTGACAGTATATCCGAAGGTTGTGAAGTCATTGTAGTAATATATAGTATATAACAATCTATCAATTGAAGTTATTCGAACCCCTTGTTTCAAATTTTAAGCCTCAATACTAGCTGTATATGGCTAGGCTAGTAATACGGCCCGTATACGGCCAGTATTGAGAACTGAATACGCACTGGACCCGTATTGGGATTTTGGAATACGCACTAACTCAGTATTACCGTATACGGGTCGTATACGACCCGTATCGCCAATACTATCTAATACACTGCTTCTGCTAAGATTTGTCGTAGTTCATCCTTAATATTGTAGACGCTGCCATGGTCGCACGATCCACCAGCCCTCTCATGTAGTGGAGGAGAAGGCCTCGTTTCGTCGACTATGGCCGTCTCGACACCCTAGTGAATTGGTTATGATCCGCTGTCGTAGCTAGCTTAGAGCAATTTGGGGAAGGTCGTCGAACCTGAACAGGGAACGTTGAATCTAGCTCTACGAAAGACGGGCATTGTTGTCCATCCTTGGAGAAACAATCGGCACTGAGGTAGTCTAATCTTCGATAATAAGGGGCTCTTTTGCGTGGAATTAGTAAGGTGTATAGGCATACAAAAGCGAGCTAAGAAACCTACTTGAGTATTGCCTGGCACATAAACTGAGTTCGGGGTTGTGGCATCAGTAAGCAGACGGCTCTCGTCGATTAGTTGGCGCTTCGAGATATGGAGGGGCTTGTGGTTCTGCGGTGTCTCCATTTCGGGTGGCCTGGAATAACTCATCAAGATGAAAGAAAGTCATCTAACGAGTCGTTATCATGTACATTCTGCGCTGACGCTGCAGGTGGTGATATGCTGGGTTGTAGAGACGGTAGGTGCTTGTTTAACGCCGACCTCGTCAGCTGAGCGTGTGAGGTCTTTAATGCGGGGGTTGGGGCTATAGGATTTAACACAGTTCATGTTCACGGTAGCCATGCTGAACAGAGTAGGACACTGAGTGGGAGAATGGTCTTTAAAACGTGTCTCTCGAGCGGAAATGAGGGAGCTTATACAGAGAATCGGACCGGAGAACTGAGATAATTCTTCGTTGAATTCCTACCTAATTATCTAGGAATAATCTATGCATTAATTCTTGAGATATTAAGTGTAAGCGCTAATGTAGGCGCTGAAATTTACACCAGGCCGTCATACCTCAATATCTATGGTTCTAATTGCTCTAAAACTGCATGTAAATGAATCTTTAGTGTATAGATAAAGCTGAATACACACTTTTAAAATATACTACTAAGTTGTTATCGAGTTATTATCTTCTAAATTTCTTGATTATGGGTGAGAAATTCAGTGTCCGACCCGCTTGTGTGTCCCGACTCGCTTGTGAAAGACGTTACCTAGTAAATCTTCAGACATTCCACACATAATAACCCTCATCATCCAATTGCTTGTCTACCATAACCACGAAGACACAAAACCCACCTAAACCATCATCAACCCACCAAGAACAACACCCACCACCACTGCCACCACCTTCCGCGGCCCAACCTTCCCACCCCCTGACTCCTTCACCACCACCCCCGCAATCTTAAACGCCGGGTCATAATTCGCCGGCACCGTCGAATTCAGACTCCCATCCCAACAATACCTCTGAAAGCACTTCGTACACGCCTCCGGCACCGCCGTCTGAGTCCTATCCCAGCTACGACTCAGCACCGCGCAGCCAAGACAAGTCACCCACTCGGCATCCACGGTCCCGTTGCCCATCGTCGCGACGTCATAGCCGTTCTGGATAATCAGATTGCGCTGCGCATCGTCGTAGGCGGGGTCGAAGGTTGAGACATTAGAGTGCGCGATGTACGGCGCGTGCGGGACGTAGACGACTAGTGGGGTGAGGGAGGTGGTGTTCTTGGGATCGCACCCGAAGAAGGTTGGGCGCGAGTTGAGGCCGAGGTTGACGAAGGTGTTCACATCTGGGATAGCGGGGAATGACGTCCCGTTGCCAATGGTGGTGTTGAGGGAGCGCTCGTACGTGGCGACGAGGGCGGTGCCGTTGGGCCAGAAGAACTTAGTGTCAGCGCTCCCGTCGACAGCGAAAATGACGTCCACGTGGCGCACGGGCTGGATGAGCGGGTGCAGCGGGATATTCTGGAGATCCTCGCCGCCATCGACGAGGGAGAGTTGCGTGATGTCCGCATCGCGGTTCGTGGCGGGGTTGTAGTGAAAGAAGGGGTTAGGGGAGTACTGGGCGATATCGTTGTTGTCCTGGCCGATACTCTTGAGGATGGAGGCGAGGGCCTCGGTGAGTAGGCTTGAGGAAGTCCCGTTGAGGTTGAGGATGAACTGGTTGAAGAGCGTGGAGGAGGTGCCGAAGACGTAGCCGGCGTTGTCGAAGCCGCGCACGCACGAGGCGGAGGTGGGGACCACGCCGCCGTCGAATTTGGAGCCGAGGTAGCGGGTTGGTGCGAAGCCGAAGGTTGTGGGGTCCCAGGAGCCCATCTCGAAGGGGTTAAACTCGTAGACTGTTGCGTTGATGGAGATGATTATGTCGCCTGGCGAGCGGCCGTCGGCGACAATGACGGGGAAGGGGGTTTCTCCATTCTTGAAATTGTCCTGTAGCGCAATGGACGAGAAAGTGTAGGCTGGCCCTCCATCAGTAGCATTGATGAGTTGGTAGCTCAGCGCTCGGCCCCAGTAATCGGTGATAGACACCTCATATCCAGCATTCTTCTTCGAATCGACCTGGCTCATGATGTTCTTGTAGTACTCGGCGGTATTGAGAATGGAGATCCCATTCTCCTTCGGGCCCTGAAAAATCGAGTTCCCAAACTGCCACACGGATGACCCGGAACTCCCATCTCGGAGCGCCGTCACCGAGCTGAAGTTATTCGCGTATATCGACCCAACCAGCCAGCTTCCACCCGACAGGCCCGAAAGATACGTGGCTGACTGCAGCAGCCCACCAATCCCTCCCTTACCGGTGGCATTTACCGTGCGGCTATCCGCCGCCGCCAGGAATCCCGCTCCGTTCATCAGCGCTCTGTATCCTCCCCCAGACATCGCAATCCCAATGTTGGGCAGCGCGGTCGCATTGTTGCGGTGCTTCTCGATATACGCCGCTGCATCAAACCCTGCAATGTTCGCGCGCGAAAGCAGGTCCTTCATCGGATCGATGGTGTTGTTGCGGCGCACGGGCAGCCATTCCGTCTCGTTCTTCGACAGCGAGGCGGCGTTGCGAATGGTCGGGCGGGTGGCGGGGCAGCTGACATTGCCGGGGGCGTAGCCGTTGGTAGGAGAGTCTGGGAGGCCGCGGTTGAGGAGTTCAGAGGCGGCTATGGCGACTGCTGCGTAGTCGAGGTGGGCGTCATCGCGAGGTGCGACTATAGCTGTTGCTTCGTGACGTTAGTAGTCGTCCGGAGCTCTGGGTGAGCTTGTGCTCGGTGACGGAAGCTACTTACCGTGGCTGAGCTGTGCGACAGTCACCAACGAGACAATTCCTGAAAGAATCCTCATGTTTGCTTCTCACAACTAGGTTGATCCAACAGATCCTGAGAGTGTTGAAGCACAATTGGTGATGACGAAGGTTCTCACAAGTATTTGTAGCTTTAACATAAAGTGGACCGGGTTGGATATTTGCGGACCCCGAGTGGCTGTGCTAGGGGCTAAAAGTCGCCGAAGTACGTATACACCTTAGCTTTAAAGCTTAAAGGGATCCACGATACAGTACTTTCGATACGGCGGTCGAGGGAATGGAACGGAAGTTTCGGTGATGGACAAAAGTTATAACCGGAGTAGATTTTATATAGTCACTAAAATGACTCGAGGATCCGGAAGATGTATCCACGGTGAGGAAAGTAATTGAGGGAATTTTTCCTTGTAAGATAAAGTCATACAGCCACATTCTTACTTGGTCAGCTTCAGTTCAGCTAGGCGGCCTTCAGCTAGGCGGCCAGACAACAAAACGCGTCACTCTGCACAGCCACATTTCTTACTTGGGTCAGCTAAGCTTCCTCCGGTCAGCCTCAATTCAGCTAGGCGCCCAGACAAAAAAACGCGTCACTCTGCATAGCCACTAGGAAATTTCTACACAAAAAACAGGTCTGGATAGATCCGAGTAGATCCGAGCAGATTTGTTGGACCCTGCGATGGTTCCTAGGGGTTTATTATCAGGGCAAAAGTTTTATATACCCTGCATTTGACGTGATAAGTTTTATATACCCTACATAATATGAAACCCCCTGCGACCAGTAAAAACCCCCAATCCCCCCCCCCCGTAGCCCCCCTCGCCGTGGCCCCCTCGCTGTCGCTCCTTTCGACGGCCTCATTCGGCCCAGTCGTCAAGGGCTCGACCAGGCGTCTAGGTCGAGGTAGAGCATAGGAACGGTCAGGTCGCCAAGAGAAGCCATCCTCGTGGGCCTGAGCCGAGCTCAGGAGTTCCGATGCCTCGCGACGAGGGCTTCCGAAGAGTCGTCGAGTGCCTCAGTGAGGTCCGTGGTTAGCGAGTCAGCTGGGACAGCGAGAAGGGCGACGGCGAGAATCACCATATGAACTTACCGGGTATATAAAACTTTTTGCCCTTGTTATCGCCATACTAGAGGTTAGTAGCGCTTAATTGACCCGGCCCGTGAGACATTACCACCAACTGGAGATTAATACAGTAGGGCCTCAATACGAAGATAGATATGCAATACATAATAAGCAATACATAACGAGCAATACATAAAGAGTTGTATTATCGGCATAGTCCTAGACCGAGGAAATAAGAGGGGCATTTTATACTCCCTAACTTAAGTTACGGGTGTTATGAAAACATAAATGTGTACCTGGAAATCCAGGCACCAACTCCCACCACCATCGTATCGTAGCTACCCCAAAAGTTGAACCTCCACCAAGAAAGTTAAAGTTACCAAAACATATCAACCATCACCTCTAACTACCACGACCTCACACAGCAAAACACCCTCACCTACCTCAACCACCGACCTCACATGCTCACCACATAAGCTACCTCCCCCCAACAACCACAATGGGCAACACCGCCTCCAAAGCCGCCCGCTCCACGCGCAAATACCCAACCACAGCCTCCCCCTCCATCTCCAACCGCCCCACGCCCATCCCCCGCTCCACCGTAAAAGCCTCGAGCACACGCGACGCCGGTATGCCTCCCCTCCCCCAATATATACGCAGCTTCTGACAACCGCAGAAATCTCCCGCGACGCCCAAGACCCCGACTTCTCCCCCCCCACCTCGGCCTTCGCACAGCGCCTACGCACATTAGGAGCTGTGAAACCGATGCCGACGCACTCTCCTAGCGCTATGACCGCACAGCCGCCTACGAATTACCCTACCTCTACTTCTTCCAGCTCGTCAACTTCCAGTTTCCCCCAAACCACAGCCGCAGCTGCAAACTCACCAGCGCCAACGAACCCCTCCCTCCTAATCTTCCACTCCCGCACGCGCCTCGCGCGCGAGGCAGAGGCGGAGTTCGAAGCTGCTACGAGAGGGGGAATAGGAGCGCCGAGGAAGTTCCTGGATGCTGGGGGTGTGAGGGCTGTGGTTGAGATGGTGGGGAAGGGGCGCGGTGGGGAGGTGGAGGGGGAGATGGGTGTTGATCCCGTCGTGGTGTGGGCGTTGGGGAGGGGGGTTGTGGGGGTTAGTGATGTTAGGAGGGATGCGGGGGGGGGGAGGTAGTGCTAGGAGCGGGCAGGTGTGATAATGCGAGGGGAAGGTGACTAAGGGGCAAGGAGAAGATAAGAGGGAAGGGAGAAGCTGTATATATATGTATGTGATGTAAGATATACTGTATTTTTTGTACTAAATATAAACAACCCCATCGATCCATGCACCCCCCCAACAGCGCGCAAACAAAACCTATCCGTCCATGTCAAATAGCTTTCCAACCAACCTCCAAAAGCCTGCATCACTACGCCTGGCACCGCTTTCCTCCTTCGTCCGTCCTTTCACAATCTGCCCCCTTTCCTCCTTCGTCCGTCCTTTCACAATCTGCCCAGCTGAACTCTGCAGTTCGGCTCAACAGCCTACCAAGCAGCATGGCCCCCATCCATCCTCACATCCGCCCCCGTCATAAACGAACTAGCATCACTAATCAAAAACACCGCCGCCCCCCTATACTCCTCCGGGCTACTCAATCTCCCCAACATATTCTGAGCCGGCCAATCAGTCTCCCGCTCGGGGAAGCGCTCGAATAGCTCGGTGACCATCTGCGTGACGATATAGCCGGGCGAGAGGCTGTTGACGCGGATGTGGTGCGTGCCCCATTCGGAGGCTAGGTTGCGGGCGAGTTGCAGGACGGCGGCTTTGGAGGCGTTGTAGGCGGGGCAGATGAGGCCCTGGGGTGGTGGGGTTAGGGGGTTATGAGGTGAGGGGGGGGAAGAGGGATAAGAGGGAAGAGAGGGAAAAAAGAAGGCTCACCCTGTTAGCAACGGTCCCGCTCATACTACCGATCAATACAATCGATCCGCCTCTCCCTGAGGCAATCATATGCCTAGCTACCGCCTGCGCCGTCATGAACACCCCCGTGACATTAATCTCGAACATACGACTACATCACCATTAGCACCTCATTCACCTCAATGGACACCCCCCCCCAAAAAAAGAAAACTCACTTCGCATCCTCCGCCTTATACTCAATAGCTGGCGTCTCCTGCTGAATCCCTGCAGCCGCAATCAGTCCATCAATCCCCCCCTCCCTCTCCGCAATCCCATCCACGACCCCCCTCAGCACATCCACCTCCCTCACATCCACGCGCGCGTACTCGAGCCGCGTCCCCAGCGCGCGCGCCTTCTCCTGCACGCGCGCGAACTCGGGGCTGGGGTCCGGAAGGCGGTCGAGGGCGTAGACGGTGGCGCCGGCTTCGAGGAGGGCTTCGGCTTGCACGAGGCCCAGGCCGCGGCCGGCACCGGAGACGATGACGATCTTGCCTGCGAGGGAGAACTCGGGGAGGACGGTTGGGGTGCGGGGAGTGCGGGAAGTGGCAGCAGCAAACGCGCCTTTAGACAGGCCCCCGTGGTTGTTCCTGGGCGCCGCAGCGCTGAAGGCGCGGGGGGGAGGTCGCACAGCAGTAGGTGCACGGGCGAGGGGGCGGGCGCCGAGCCGGGCTAAGCTGCGTGGAAGGGTGAGCATTGCGGCGCGGGAGACAAGGGGAGGGGATGGCGGGCTGGTTCGTGGGAGTTTGGGGGTGTTTTGTGGCGGTGTTGTACGGGGATTTTTGGGGCGTGCGGCGTGTGCGTTTGTGCGAGGGAGGGTTTGGGGGGTTTGTGTCACGGAGGTGATGATGGGGAGAGGATGGAGGAGAGGGAGATGGGTGCCGTGAGCTTAGCTGGGTCTCTGGCGGCTGGCTGGGCTGGGGCGTTGGTCGTAGCCTCTTCCTCGGAGAGAGGGTTGTGGCTGTTGGTCAGTAGAGGGTTTAGTAGAATTTAGTAGAGTGTTAGTAGAGTCGTAGCACAGCAATGGCGCGGTTGTACTTAGCGGGCAAGTCGCTGGGGTGTATGATTAGGCGATGGATAAATAAATAACAAATAGTTAAATAAATATATGCTATAAATATGCTATAAATATGCTATAAATATGCTATAAATATGCTATCAATATTCCCTCCCATTAGCCCGGACAAAAACAGCTTACCTTACTTGTATTTTATTTGGAGTAACTATGTATCATTTCATTCCTCGTTATCATCCCATCCAACATCCAACGGGAATCCCAAAACGGCAATCCGCGTTCGTTCTTGTCAGGTGGATCGTCCCAACCCTTCCAGCTTCAGCGGGTCCTGTCAGAATTAGAATTGAACCCCACTCCCCCGCACGAGATCACGTGATTATTCAAATCGTGACATCATGTCACATCACGTCACGTGTACATTCAACCATCGCACAACAATCTTAACTATATGACATTATGTCGAACCCCTTCCATGTGCCTATATCTATACTATACTACATTATAAAAGGCCCATAACCTGCCCGACTCAGATCCTTTCCGTCACTGAGGGACAGGCATCCTTACACAACTCAATATAGTATTCTTTACAATACTGTAACGTGTTACTTGGAAAGCCTTTGTGTCTAATCCCCTGCCTCCTCTGTCAAGTCAACCTTACGCAAGAAACCTCTGTGTCTTCTATCGTTTAGAAGTCAGTGTTACAATTAGATCCTTAACATTTAAGCAAATACAGAGCAGGATAGGCTACGGAATAGGATACAGGCAGAACGAAAGGCGGTTACAGATTATGGATAGGGGGCTTATGGGTTACAAATGTATAACGTACCACCGTAAAGGAAAACTCTGCACACTAAGGGCTTACAGACTGCAACCGTAAAGGAGAACTATATACGCTAAACCTAGGGTAGTAATAAATGGGACCTAAACTTAAGCTAGCCAATCCTGAATTTTGACAAATGATAGCCAATTCACATGATAAGAGTTAAGGCAGGTTAGCCGAGTCGGACCTGTTTCGGGTACTTAAGGAGATTGACCCAACGGGGGTTCCTCTCTTCATCTTTTTTGTATCCTTCGTAGTAGACCTATAGGATAGCATCCGTTTAGCCTCCGACTCGCACTCTCATATGCTATTACTGTGAGCTGGGTGCCCTGTTGTAACGCTGACTTCTAAAAGATAGAAGACACAGAGGTTTCTTGCGTAAGGTTGACTTGACAGAGGAGGCAGGGGATTAGACACAAAGGCTTTCCAAGTAACACGTTACAGTATTGTAAAGAATACTATATTGAGTTGAGCACGAAGCTCCTATCTAAGGAAATACTATCTACTTATATAGTGGTGTCGTGCCTCATGGGTAATCTGAATAGTTGGCGGATAGCTAGATATTCAGGATAGTTCGTGGATAGCTCAACTATCCAATATCCACTAGTTTCTGCAACTATCCATTAGCCCCGTCACATGGCAGCCTACCCCGCTTCCCACTGTGACTCACATGTCACGTTACTAGGCCCTGGCCCTTTAACCATGAAATCATGTTACTGTAGCCGTAACACCTGTGTCCTTACAAGTTGAGCACGAAGCTCCTATTTAAGGAAATACTAACTACTTATATAGTGGCGTTGTGCCAAAGGGATATCCGTGGATAACATGGATAACATAATATCCATGATATCCAATGTTATCCATCACATGACATTCCATGGGTCCCCGTGGATAACATGGATAACATAATATCCAAGATATCCAATGTTATCCATCACGTGAGGTTGCAGCCGTAAGCGCTAGCCATAGCACTAGCACTTAGCTGTAACACTAATGAGTTCGTCCCCTCCTATTCGGTGTGCGTACTGCAGTTCCTACCACGAGTCATCACTCTTCCGTACCAATCGACTAGGTCGCCGGTACGCAACTTGCAATTTGTGTTCAACCAGTCGCTCTCGCCGTAGCCTCTGTGCCCAGGAAAGGCTGGTACCAGTGCCTACTCCTAGAACCACGGAAAGCTTACAGCCTGTTACAGACACTGTTCTGCTGCAAAGACGTCGCCGTGGTCGTCCGCCATGCCAGCCACCTGCTACCTTGCCACTTCGCCCTATTTCACCTCACGTAACTCAATCTACTCCTATTGAGGATCCTCTTACGGTCCCGTACCGTAAGCCGCCTGCGTTCCTCTCTTGCTTCATTTTTACGCCCCCACATAACCTTGGCTGGCTTGGCCATGAGTGTGAATACTGTGCTGCACTACACTGGGTTGAGGAGGCTACGCAGGGCAAGCAATATGAGAGCTGCTGTAAGAAGGCCATGTTGACCTTCTGCCTTTACGGAGACCTCCAGTGTATTTACCGAAGCTATTTACAGACCAAAACCCATTAGGGAGGGCCTTCCGTAAGGAGATACGGGAGTATAATAACGCCCTGGCTTTTACTTCTGTAAGCTATACTCACGACTCATGCATCCAGCAGAATATTGGAATACAGAGCTTTCAAATCCATGGGGAGATATTCCATTACCAAGCCCGTTACAGCCCACAACCCAGGAGACGCCAGCCTTTGCTCAGCTCTTCTTTTATGACCCCTCTTATGCTACTGAGGCATGGTGGCAACAGCATCCGCAGCTTGATACTACTATTCTTATGCAGCTACTACAGCTACTTACTGACCATAACCCATTCATTGCTATCTATAAGACAGCGCGGGAGCGGCTTACGGCTGTTACGGATAGTAACAGTCCCTTCCGGGTCATCCTTAACCCACAAATGCGCCTAATAGTAGAGAGTGGCGCTGATACGCGTAGGGAGAATTTACCTACAAGTGATGAGATTGCAGCTATTATTCCGGACGAGATTGGCGCATCTGGACCACGGGACTTAGTCCTTGCCTTCTGTAACACAACTCCTGGCCAGCGCTATCTATCTAAAGTCCATGTGACACACGTGTCATATATGCCACTTCATTACGTGCTTCTATTTGTCTTTGGGGAATATGGGTGGCACTGGGGTCTCACCTTACAGGAGAACAATGGTCCCTGTAAGAATCTACGGCTAGAGCAGAGACCCTTCTATAGGTACCATCTGTTTACCCGTAATGAGTGTTTTAACACCTTACATTACACTGGGTGCCTATTCCAACAGTTTGTGGTAGATATTTTGGTCATTTGCGAGTCTACTACACTTAGTTGGCTCCGTAACAACCAGAAGTCTATTGTTACGGCTAAGTGCTAGTGCTATGGCTAGCGCTTACGGCTGCAACCTCACGTGATGGATAACATTACTTCCTCAGTATAGGTGGTTTCAACTACTTCCGTACATTGGTCGGGGCTTTGATCCTATAGTTGAAACAGCTCTTGCAGAAGATTTAGTCTCAAGATTAAATCAGGACCAGCTTTTATGCTTCCATACAATCTGTACGGCTATTGAGACTGAGCCGCAGACTGCCCACTTCTATCTACAAAGGCCAGGGGGGACTGGCAAGACCTTTCTATATAAGGCTTTATGCCATTTCTTCCGTGCCCAAGGAAAATCAGTTCTCTGCGTGGCTTCTACAGGTATTGCAGCCTTACTGTTACCAAATGGGTGCACTTCTCATACCCAGTTTAAGATTCCAATTGATCTTACAGATAAGACCTCCTGTTCTATTACCTGTAACTCAAGGGTAGGGCGGCAACTTCAAGAGGCAGGTCTAATTATATGGGACAAGGTTCCTATGCAGCATAAATACTGCTTTGAGGCTGTTCACCGACTATTATGCGACCTACGGTCTACTACGGACGATGTGCTATTTGGTGGTGTACCTGTATTACTCGGGGGCGACTTTGCACAGATCCTACCCGTAGTACGTAAGGGAACTCAATCTGACGTTGTACATGCCTGTTTACAGTGTTCCTTTATATGGCTGAGACTAAGGAGACTCCATTTACGGGTCAATATGCGTGTCCGTGGTGGCTTACTTGACGAGGGGTTCATTACATGGATTGGGCGGATACCGTATGATCCGCAACTATACGGGTCAATGGAAATACCATCCTACATTACACAGAGTAAAGAGTTAGACTCTCTAATTACTGCGATATATCCTAATGGTCTTACAGACAAGGGATCATATGCAAGATGTCTTTACGGATCAGGCTATCGTTACAGTACACAATGAGACTGTACTAGAGCTAAACGCTCTCCTACTCTCTCGGTTTCCAGGAAATATGAGGACGTTACTCGTGCGGCCCAAAAGTCTGTACAGGGTCTGTGCACAGGAGGTGGGTCATTGTAAGTACTTTCGAAAAATAAATACATAGAAATGTACATAATCTACCCACGAAATTGTTACCTCCATTTACTGCAATACATCGCTCTAACTTATCCCTGAACGACGCATATAGTTGAGCAGTTTTCCCATCCATTTTCCTCCCCCATTCTTCCTCAAGAAATACCCTTGCATGAGCTTTCTCAAGCTTACCTCCATTTAAAGGTATATATTCATCAACTCGATCTTTCAGATAATCAAAAGCATTCTCAATAGGATGTAAATCAGGAGAGTTTGGAGGCCAGAATCCTACTCTGTGAATTCCTTCTCTTTTCATATAATCTTCAAGTGAACGGTGTGCTTTCAAATGAAGTCTAACATTGTCATCTACAAACCAGAGTCGTTTTTCTGGATGTAATGATTTGATTTTCTGAAAATAAGGAAAGAGAAGTGGGAGTAAAACCATTTCACAGTATAAAAACCAATCAATCCCACCCTTTGAAACTTCTTGGTTTTCTGAAACTCTTCCTCTACTCCAACTCTCCATGTCTCCAAATTCTTATGATGGTCTTCGTGGCCATTTCCATTTGCTTTTCCCTTCTTGGATATCTCTGTTTAAAGTCTCCATATATTCATATTCGAGAGTTCCAACTGTTCTTGCCTGTAAAAGCTCATCATCTTCCTTTTTTTGCCAGTATGTATTTATCTCCCGAAGTTTTAACACATTTTGCCGCTTTTCTTCAATGCTTTCAGGGATCCAGGATAGTGACGGGCGTGAGACAGAGATTACAGAACTCATTGCACCCCAGAACATAGCTTGAAAGAGAGATTTCTTCTGTTGAACTGCCATACTTTCTGCTGTTTGACCTTGTTGGACTGTAATTCAGCGTTTCTTGTGTGGATTTCCTCCAAAGTTGATATATGACTTGTCTGAGAATATGAAGATAGAACCAGCTTCAAGTTCTGATAATGCCCATTTGCAGAATCTCAAGCGTACTTCAGGAATAATATTATCAAGATATGGCTTGAGACAGATGTTTTTGCATACAATTGGGCGAGGGATCTCTGCACTTGAGTGGTTCTTTGCAACTCGTTCAACAATAGAGCATGAATATAGTAATTTCTCCTTATCAATAACTTGTTGGAATGTATCGAATGGATTTGCCAGAAGTAAAGAGCGTACGCGTAATGACTCTTGAGAATCTTTCTGTATCGTTTGAGGTCTTCCGCTCTGAGGCTTTGGGTTAAGATGTTCAAGAAGGTTGAGAATATCTGTATTTCCTGCCTTTTCCACAGTTTGTTGCCATATAACGTACATGTATAACGAACCGGCCAAACAAGCGAACCGGCCAATCCATTTTACACCTTAAATCACGAATTTCATAACTTAATATCTCAACAACCCTTTAATAATAAGTTATAAAAATATGTACTTAGCCTTTTATAAGCATTTAAAGTACTCTATTTGATTTTTAAAGCAATTAGTATTGTAGTTATTAAGATATTGAGTTTTAGCCCCCACTTTTGACCTAATTCTTAGTATCTTAATAACTACAATACTAATTGCTTTAAAAATCAAATAGAGTACTTTAAATGCTTATAAAAGGCTAAGTACATATTTTTATAACTTATTATTAAAGGGTTGTTGAGATATTAAGTTATGAAATTCGTGATTTAAGGTGTAAAATGGATTGGCCGGTTCGCTTGTTTGGCCGGTTCGTTATACATATACGTTACGTGCAACAGAATTAGCTGAGATTCCAAGATTCTTTTCAATTTCTGCATATGAATCATTCATAAATATGCGTAGGGTAATGATTGCTGCACGTAGTGGAATTGAAATTTCGGCCATTGTACAAGATAGTTGAGAGTTGGGTATTATTGTTGTAACTGAGTGTTGTACTTGAAGATACTCGAGTAGTTGAGAGTTGGGTATTATTGTTGTAACTGAGTACTTATGCTTCCTAATTATTTTAGTGTTCTAATTGGCTGGAGTGCACAGACCCTGTACAGACTTTTGGACCGCACGAGTACTCTCTATTGATTCTGCGGACGTAAATGATCGTGGTGATGGCGTCATTACATCCCTGTTGAAGAGCTCCAGGATCAAAAGCCGTCGCAGCTCCCATTGTCTTTCTACAGCTAAAGGCTGGTGTGCCCGTAATGCTTTTACGGAATATAGTTCCTCAGGAGGGGTTGTGTAATGGGTCACGGATGGTTGTTCTAAGCATTACACAGCACTGTCTTGAGGTCCGTCTACTTGGTGAACAGTTCTACGGTCAATTACGGACGATTCCACGGATAAAACTTCAGACTAATGAGGGGGATTTGCCGTATATCCTTACCCGTAAACAGTTTCCTGTGCGGGTATGCTTTGCTATGACTATTAATAAGTCTCAAGGGCAGTCGTTTAAGCATGTAGAGGTTGATTTACGGTTGTCTACTTTTAGTCATGGGCAGTTCTATGTTGCAATGTCGCGGACGTCGTCCGTTGGCTTACACGTTCTACTTCCTCTAGGGGATGATAATACGACTAATAATGTAGTATATCCAGAGGTGTTAGTTGGAATTAATCTCCCGGGACAACCAGCCATTGTGCGCCGTGTAATAAAGGGTACAGAGCTGTCTTTGAGGGGTTTTGCGATACGAAGAAGTACTGCTGTTATGTTTCTTGCTGTCGATGGTTTAAATAGGGAAGGGGAAACCGAGGAAGTAGGAATGGATAGCTGGACGGGGGAGGCATCATGGCTCTCTCATGTAGCATAGCATTCGCACACGAGGTCATTTGTAGAACACCAGGCATATCCACGTCATCTGAAGAATTCAAATGGAGCTTTCTACGGTAATACACACAGAAAACACGTCGCACAGACAAGCCGTCAACTCAAATAACCTACGTTACCCCTCTCGTTGAGCTCGCCCTCGAGGCGCGGATTCGGAGTATATAAAGATAAAGGCAAATCCCTTGCTTTGATGAATAACACAGAGCTACCGCATTATTATCACCAGGTAAAAAAAACTCTCATCCCAAACCAACCATGAAAACTCCCCTCGCGGCCCTCCTCACCTTCGCCCTCCTCACCACCTCCACCGCCACCTACCAATGCCTCGACTCAGCGCCCAACCTATACTGCTGCCAGAACCACCCCTTCGCCTGCCAGATCCGTGCGTCTTCCTTTCCTACTTACCTCTAGTAGCTGCAGCTAACCGCCTTCCCCACTCCCACAGTCCGCGACCCAGACCAAGATCCCTCAAAACCGCCGGGAACTTCGTATCAGCCTGCCGATTTAAACGCGTTCACAGCGGCTTGCGCAAGACTCAATGGGGCGTCGTGGCCAGCTTGCTGTTATGTTGATGCAAAGATAGTGGGTTATCCCTTTCGTTTGAGTATGGTTGGGAACAGGCGTGCTGACGGATTGGATAGACGTCGTGTAATCGGGCATTCAATATGAAAAATCGCAGACAGAATCGTAAGATTGCAAAGTACGAAGCTTGACTACTTGGAGAGGGGTTTTTGGTTTGCTGATAATGTTTCTGCTGGGGAACTTTGGAGGGGTATGTTACGGGAGTTGCAGGGGCGTATCAGACATAAGCTCCAAAAGAATGATGATGGGAGGGTACTGGGATGAATGTTGGCGGTGATGATTATTGTTTATGACAGGGATGACTAATGACATCGGCGCTGAGACTGGTATTAAGCAATAGATAAAGTTCTAGCAATGAATCTTCCGATTGGAAATTTTGCAATGGCCTTGTTTCTGTTTTTGGCAGTGTCTTGTTTAATTGTTGGTCGCCATGAGAACCGTCGAAACTGTCATATCTCAGTTGCACAACGTGAGACACATGAGTTCCACACCATACGGCACACACAGTAACCAGCTTTTTCCTCAGGTCTCGGGAAGGGAGGGTGAATCCTTTGTCAATATTTGGGTTTAAATGGGGCGAACCCCCCTCTTATCACAGATCAAATTCCTCGTCGCTGTCGTAGTCGTACCACCATTATATGTCCAGCCCTACACGACTCCACATACCCCATAAGACACCCCGTCATCAACTATCATGCATCTCAAAACTACTCTCTTAATCACTGCCATATTCATCTCCACCTCCATGGCTGCTGGATGCTTTCCGATTTCCAATTACGGGAAACCCGACTCCTGCCAGTCCTGCGGACGACGGATATTTCGGCCCACGAGTGACTTGTGCGATATCAATATAAGCTGTTGCCCCGGCCTCTGCTGTTTTACAGTAAAAAGAGAGATTATTGAATAGCTGCAAAGTGGGGTAAGTTAACTCCGCTTCGTTCCTGGATGTCGAACTGAGACGGTGTCTGAGGGCAGAAGATAGTAACTATAGCTTTGGATGAATTTGGTGTGGCTAGTTCTGATCTTGAGTGGGTCAATGGACTGTCATGTTATTGAGCGGCACATACGAGAGTTACAGTGACACCTGTTTTGAATGAAACTTGCAGCGGCCCGGTTGAACGCTGTGTAAGGCGGCCTTCCAGTTTTGTCTCGTCATTAAGCATCTGAACTCGCTGAAGATTGTGATCTACGCCTACATCCATGCAGTCCTACCTCGCCATTCAAAATGTGAGACCCTGCCATAGTCATGATGGGCCATGTATCTCAAACCTTTCTTCATTTTCGTCCTGATCCGAAATCCCAAAGGAGACTTCCACATACTTATAGGCCCCCTCCGCCGGCAGCTCGATTTCCCCCCCATCACAACCTAACCTACTTAACCATATAAGTGCCATTCTCACCATACCGGTTTTAAACTGAACACCTCAACACTCACCCTCAGTAAAAACGATGCATTTGCAAACCATCCTTTTCGGCATCGCTGCCATCTTCGTATCCACCTCCGTAGCACAGAGTTGCTACTCGATCGAGAAATATGGGTTGGTAGACAACGGCTGCGCGCCTTGCAAGACCAACTACACAATCACCTCTCTCGACAGCTGCGATATTACAAAAGAATGCTGCAACGGCGTCTGCTGCAAGCCGGCACAGACTTCGTTTCCTTGATAGATGTACGGTAAGATTGACATTGTCGCAACTCTTGGGGTTGGGTTGGAGCTGACTTGGTATTACAGGGCATCGCATCTTCAGACGTGGATCAATTTCAATTTTGCGACTTTTTATAGCTATCACCTTGCCTTATATCCCGAGCTATAATTTTGTTGTTTGAAAGGTTCAAGGACTGGGATGGTTTCGGTGTAATCTCAATGTTACGAGGTTTGGGAGCGCACCATGTCGCAAAGCTTGTACGAAGGATAGTAATAGCGATCAATCTTCAGCCCAAAATATTACAACGGCCTTGCTTGACAGTGCACGAGTCTGCCTTATGGCGTTATATCTTTATCCAGAAAGCAGAGTTACCATTACATGATCGCGAGATCCACACTTTCAAGTGTTGAAACATGAACCCCAGTAACCTTATAATACTCTTCTTTGCACTTTAATAAATAATTCATGCATATTTTTATACAACAAATGCTGCTGTTGTAACAGGCCTTACGAAAGCCATTTCGTCGATTGGCTGTAACAACTCCACGCTTTTTCGTGAAGGAGCTACAACGCATACCACTTTCCCTTGAAGCTTGGCTATTACTACTATTGGTACGGAGTAATGGTAACTGCAGTCATGCTCACACTGGTATATAAGATAGCACACTCATTTACCAGATGGAGAATATCTTAGCATCGAGATGCGTTTAAAACACAGCGCCCTTGCTTCAAAATCAACCCCTTACTTGAAAAATCAACCCTGTGACTCTTTTCTGGTAACTGAATGAGATGCAACTGACTGCCCCGGTTCCAACGCCCAGATATTCCTATTGCTAGAAGTACTTATAGGCCCCCCATGCCCGCGTTCAGAACAATCCTTTCCCTCATACATGGTGCAAACACTCCATCACATACCTAGCCACTCTACCCAAAGAAAACGAATCAACCCTTCAACTGCCACCATGCATCTCAAGGTTATTTTTCTCGGCATCGCCACCATGTCCGCGTCAGCTTTCGCAGCTCCCGCAGCAGCTCCAGTAGCTCTACCAGCCCAGGAGTGCGTATTCCCCGTCGGCAGATGGTATGGACGAGCAGATCTTGGTTGCGCAGCACATGAGTGCCCCCCTGGCCTGACGTTTATCCGTGCATTTTCAAGCTGCTGGATTGAACGTGAGTGCTGTCTCGGCAAATGCTGTCCATAGGAGTTCCACGTGTGGTGAGTTAGGTTATCCCCTCCTTCTTAGACCTTACCTGATTTAATCCATTGTATAGTTCGTAGAGCTCCTTATTCAGAAACTTCGCTCAAATTCTGAGTAGTTTTGGGGTTGATGTGGATATTTAATGCATTTTTAAGAATACAGTTGAACCTGGATATAAGGATCCCTCGATATAAGGATATCCTCGGTATAAGGATGGGTAGTCTGGTCCCGTAGTTTTTTAGCTGTAAAATAAGGATTATTTCTGTATAAGGATGATCCTTAAATCCGTGATCCCAAAATTATTTTTATACCAAACAATCCTTATAACTATACATATTTTGGCTTATCACACCAACAACAAGAGCATTACTACTCAACGATTGCTACAACCCTCTATGATTCATTACACGTCATCGCTCCTTAGTTACTGGGCTGATATAATATTTCCAATCCACAAGAACGAGTAGGTGATGGGAGCGCGTTGGCGCGTGGGTGATAACGTGTGCTGGGCTGGCAGAATTCACAGAATTCCAACTTGACAATGCCGATTCTGACTCCCACCGGAGCTTTGTTGGGCGTGTTCTGTGTCCTCTGCCTGCGCTGCCTTCGGGCCAAAGCTCGTGGCGTCAAGGATCACGATTATGTCTGGTCCCCCGCCTCCTCCAAGTGCGAGTACTGCACAGCGCAGCACACCACCTGCGTTCCGGTGAGTTCCCTTGTGGTGTTCTGTCTCTGTTGGCTTTTGCTAACTGTTTGGATAGCTGCCCTGGTTCCTCAACAAGGAGTACCGTGTTCTTGTCGCCGCAGAAGCGGCAGATCCTTGGGACCCCGCTGCCGTCGAAGCCGCTGCCGCAGAGGCAAACCAGGTGGCCCTTGTGGCCAAAGCGTCCCAAAATTCTGCTTGGCCGCCGAGCGTGGCTCCTACGAGGAGCTCCGTGTAAATCGCCACACCGAGCTATGTATGAAACTAATCCAAGAAGCGCATGACCAGGTGTCAGTGGCACATCCTAGCGGCCGGAAAACCTATCAATTGATTGCCCTGAAGTACCACTGGGTCGGGATGGAAGCGGATTGTTTGCACTATGTGAGGAATTGTGTGACATGTCAGCTTTCTCATACCAATGTCACCAAGCAACAAGGATTTCTACACCCGCTGCCCGTACCTGAATATTTTTCAGCCGCTTCCGAATACTACTCGACTCTGCAAAGAGCCAGTTAGTATGGCCAAAGGAGTACCCGCCGACTCCTAGCTGGAGCAAGGAGATCACCTTGCCCTACCACTCATGCGAAACGTCCATTAAACATCCTGCATACCAGCCGGATGCGAATCGCCGGGATTCCGCAATCCACCACGAAGACAGACGCCGCGCAGGCGGACGCTCGATGGAAATGAAAGTGATAATTTCCGACTACGAAGAGATCACCGATACGCCATCGAACCTACTACGAAACCAGGAGGTTTCTCCCCCACCGCAGAAAACCCTAGTACATAGGTTTACACCCATGCATATCTGCGAAATCAGTGCAAATGCTTTCCACCACGAGATGATGCGAAGCGACTCCGAGTTTTTTCAGACTAGCACCTACGAAATCGATCAGATCATTCATGAAAAGGAGTTGGTAGAGGATGAAGAAACGCTCCGCCTCATCCAGCAGAAGCTTCCGCATATGCACCGGAAGTACACTGATGTCTTTTCGAAGTTGGAATCGGATCGAATCCCCCCACACCGCATATACGACCACAAGATACAGCTCGAAGCCCCTTTACCAAACGCTTTCTCGCCGTTATATTGACAGGGCACCGAAGAGCTTAAGGCTACCAAGCAATATCTGTTAGAGAACCTAGAGAAAGGCTTCATCGTCAACAGCAACAGCCCCTTTGCGTCCCCTATCCTATTCGTAAAGAAAGCAGATGGCAAATTAAGATTTTGCATCGATTACCGGAAGTTAAATGGCCTCACCCGGAACGATCCCTACCCCATCCCGCATATCGACGAACTACTAGGACGGGTGTCGAAAGCAAAAATCTTCACGAAGCTAGATATCAGACAAGCTTTCTGTAATGGTGGGTGCACCAGATGTGAGAATCTTGCCACCCAAGGAAGGGATGAATTTACTAAGACAACACACTGTCTTAGAAAACAGAGCCAAAGGGTCGTAGCTTAGACTATTCCACAACGCAGCAATCAGGTGTGTGATGTAGTGAAGTGGTTCAGACAAGTTGCAACAAATGTTGAGTCTGGGAACTCAGGGGTAAGTCAGAGGTTAACACCTCACTGACTTTTCAGAAACAAGGAGTAACAAGATGAATGCTTGGAAGCTTGGAAAAGACGTGGAAGTATGTGATAGTCGATTTACTGTATTGTCTGCTTGCCCTTTCTTAAGGAAAGGGCAATCCTATTTATGCTAAAGGAGTGTAGTTTTCTCATTTTCCAAGACTTTCCATGATTACCAGGCTTGGTAACTGTAGTCGACGTAAGAGAATCCCATAGAACCATCTCTTAGGTTCGTAGCCTATAGGAAGTAAAAGGAGGTCCAAGGTCAGAGTACCCCTATAGACAAATTATGTCATAGACAAATTATGTCATAGACAAATTATGTCATAGACAAATTATGTCATAACTTAACCAATCTTGTGGGTAACTAAAGAGCGATGACATGTAATGAATCATAGAGGTTCGTAGGAGCTTTTAGAGCTATCGTTCATGCTCCTAGGCCTCTAGTTGGTAGAGATATGTCATGTGGTAGTATGAGTGATGTCATGTAATGAATCATAGAGGGTTGTAGAGATATGCTATGTGGTAATATTGGCCCAGTAACTAAGGAGCGATGACGTGTAATGAATCATAGATGGTTGTAGCAATCGTTGAGTAGTATTGCTCTTGTTGTTGGTGTGATAAGCCAAAATATGTATAGTGACTTGTAGGTTTGAGGAGGAGATTTCCAAGTTTGCTCTTGAGTTTGATAGCAAACTGAGTGCAACGAATGTCAGTATGACACTTTCCATCGCATACGGATGCACCCGACTCGGAAGAGTACATGATCTTTCGGACTCGCTATGGATCCTATAAGTGCAAAGTGCTGCCGTTTGAGCTAACGAATGGTCCTGCAACCTATCAGCGGTATATGAATGACGTCCTGATGCAATATTTAGACGACTTCTGTACCACTTACTTAGATGACATCCTAATCTATTTAGATGACCCTACGGAACACATAGCGCATGTGCATAAGGTCCTACAGTGTCTCTGAGAGGCTGGACTCCAAGCCGATTTGAATAAATGCAAGTTCAACGTCACCAGGACAAAATACTTGGGTTACGTTCTCACTACTCCGGTGTCGAAGCAGACCCCGACAAAATCTAACCCCTTCGTAACTGGATCCGACTGACCACTGTTATGGGTGTGAAGTCCTACCTGGGATTCTGTGGCTTCTATAGACAATTCATTCACAATTTTGGCAAAATAGCAAAGCCCCTCATGACCATCACTAGTCCCTTGGAGCCGTTCCGATGGACAGACGAATGTGAGGCTGCTTTTGAGGAATTGCGCCGGCAACTCCTAGTAGTACAGGCACTTCACCACTTCAACCCCGAATTGCCTATGAAGCTGGAGACAGATTCCTCCGATGGAGTCGTAGCTGGTGTCCTCTCTCAAGAACACCCTGACAAGCGGTGGTACCCCGTAGGAGTGTGTCCGAATCGGTATATCCATTGGATGAACAATTGTGTCATTTGCCGGGCAGTTGTGGTTTTGTAGCAAGGTATGGTCACTGAACTCTTTCCGAGTCGGTCCATAAACACTAAGATGCTGTCGTATGCATGCTTATCCCTTGGGAACTCCTTGACGTCCATGGTGAGGTGTTGCATAGCTTCTTCCCAATTATCACATCTTGTGCTCCGAGGTCCAGGAGTACAAAGGCTGAAATCCACATATGGGTACAGAGTAGGGTAGTTTCTGTATGGCGCTTTTGACAGTCGTATTGCGAAAGGCTTGTTAATGACGAGGTAGCCGTTTGCTCCTGTGTCTGCTAGGGACTTCATTTGCACCCCGAGTCCATTCATACTCAGGGTCGTGTCGACTAAAAAACTGGGTGCCTCCCAGGAGTTCTCCTAAGTCTAGTCCTCGCAGGTCACATTTGCGTAGACCTAGGAAGGAGCCTTCTCCTAGGCCTCGTCATTTTCCTCGAGGGACACATCCGATTGAAGTTCCACAGCTTCTTCCCATTGTTCTTCAGCCTCGGGGTCGTTATGGTCCATTTCCTTGATAGTAGCGTTAAGGGGGCATTTGTCCTGGAAATGGCCGGGCTTGCCACACTTGAAACAGTTTCCTGAGGGCGCAGGGACTACGGTTCTCACACGTTCCGGTATGGCTCGCTTGGGGAGGAACGCGGTTCGGGTGAACAGAGCGGATGTGGCTCGAGTCAGCTTCGACGCCGACGCGTTTACCGTATCCGTGGTACGTGTGGACATCCTTGCGAGAGCGGGTAGCGGATTCAATTCGTTGTTCCGGCGCCGTTCCTGATCGAAGGCGGTAAGTTCTCAGACCATGGTCTGGTATTCTCCATTCCATTGGTTTTTGATGATCGCGACGCGGCTGCGGAATTGCAGAGTCAACTTGTTCCACATGTACCGAAACCATTCCGACTCGGAGACTTGTCCTGTGATAGCTGCACTTTGGAAACGAGCCTTGAACTCTGGGAAGGTTTCGCTAGCATGCCCATTCTCTCCCATTTGCAGGTCGTCGAAGAGGTTCCTGGCCTGTTCCGTCTCGTTGCCTGTGAGGTAGTATGAACCTAGTAGATCCATCATCTCCTCAGCACTGTGGAACCCATGCATAGCAGACAGGTATTGGGGCTCTAGGTAGGTCTTCGCCAGGCCGGTCGTAGTTCCCCATATCAACGCTCTTCTCGAGACGTCGGTAAGTAGTGGTCCTCATTGACTACGAGTCGGTCCCGAATCGAAGCGCTCCATTGTAGGAAGGTATGTTCTATCCCATCGCTGAGCGGAGTGATTCTCTCCGAGATGGTAGATTTCTTATAGCGAGTCGGTGGGTCCTCGGTGTGCATTCGTGAAGTGCTTGGGATCGATGGAGAACGAAAGTCCTGAAGAGGCGTCAATTGAACTGTCTCAGGGGTGTTTCGTGTGTGAGGCATTCGTTGCTCCGCAGCTTCGACTGTGGGTATGGGGGCGTCCACCGGCGGTGTGGATGGGATTCTGGTCTGGGCTGCCGTCAGGGTAACTAGTAGATCCTTGACCTCCTGTATCTGTGCTTCGAGGTGGGCCATTCAACTCGGGATGTATTCAGATCGCACAGCGGTCGTAGCTGCAGCGGTGGTTTGTCTGGTAGTCATTCTGGGCAGTTGACCATCGTTGTCTTGGGGTATGTTTGACTTCCGGTAGCTTGTAGCTATCAACGCTCTTGTCCATAATTTCCTCTGTGCTAGGAGGGGGTTCTTGAGGATCTCGTATCCTATTCGGCGCCAACGCGTCGGCGACTTTACCAGCTTGTTCTGAAGAATCAAATCCTGATCCACTGGCTGTCTATGAGATCTCTGGAATCACGGCTATTTGAAGTCGTCAGGTCTCTCCTCTGAAACGTCACCGAGTCGCGGTCAATGTCGTAATGGTAGTTCTCCCGAGTTGTTCCGGTGTGGGATATTATTGAAGTACGGCCGTCCCCGGCAGGCGTGATCTTTTTTGAGGACACAGGGCACCCAGCTCACAGTAATAGCATATGAGAGTGCGAGTCGGAGGCTAAACGGATGCTATCCTATAGGTCTACTACGAAGGATACAAAAAAGATGAAGAGAGGAAGCCCCGTTGGGTCAATCTCCTTAAGTACCCGAAACAGGTCCGACTTGGCTAACCGGCCCTAACTCTCCCGACGTGACCATAACCTGTCTGACTCCGATCCCTTCCGTCACTGAGGGCGGAGGCATCCTTACATAAACCACCTCCGTTTAGCTCTCCCTGAGCTTGTGATAGAGGAGAGCACCCTTGTTTCTGATAGAGACAAGGGGCTTCCAGAGGCAGAGAGGGGTTTGGGAGGGAGGGTGGTAGTAGCACATTGCTGCCACCACCTTAAAGAGAACTTCACGGAGAAGTTTGGAAGGGCCCTACAGCCCCTTTTCTGGGCTGCAGCATGGGCGAAGACGAGGGCAGCCTGGGATGGCGCCCTCGAAAAGATCTGAGCAAAGAAGCTGGAGGCGGTTCTTTACCTCGAGCAGGCTGAGCCTGAGACTTGGGCAGAGGCTTGGTTTCGTGGCCGTCAATTTGGCCACGATACTAGCAACGAGGAGAGCGAGCTCGCTTCGCTCGCTTTCTAGCTGAGGTGCTGGATTTTAGTAGGGTGCCGTCTAGCGAAGCGCCAATGTATGTAGAAATCGTAGAACCCCAAAACAATAGTAAATACAGTAGTAGAATAGGATCCTCAATTTCATAGTAACATATAGCCATAGACGTGTAAACAAACCACAGCATATTTTGAAGCTTTTAGCCCCAACCCTTCTTTCCTTCAACATCACCAACGCCCTCACTACTTCCGAGGTAAGTCAAGGGTAATATGTCCCCCTACTCCCCCCTAGAGGCACAATCAAGGCCACTGTATTATATTTAAACTAACGTACTCATAGATTAATGACCCTCTTTGCCTGGAAACCAATCAATACCACCTCACCACCCTGCACCATGGCGGGCCACCTCGACCGACGCCCTAACTCTCCGCCCCAACTCTCCGCGATCCGTCTCCGCCTCCCGGCCTCCGCTGCCCTAACTCTCCACGCTACGTCTCCGCCTCCCGGCCTCCCGACTGACTTGACATACGACGCGGCCATCGCCGCCCTTATAGAAGACCTTCCCACGCTGCCGTCTTCTGACGATGAAGAAACTCTCTGCCGCCACTCCCACGACGCCTCTCTCCCCTCCACCCTCACTACAACTCCGGGTCGGCGTGCCCTCTCCACCACCACTACCATCCACGGCACCCCGACCCCCTCACTCTCCTCCCACGATGGCTCTCCAGAGCCAGAAGACACTCGCGGCAGCCGCCACAACTCTCCCGAGCTGGGAGAATCTGCACCCTCTAGGCAAGGTAACCCCCCCCCCCCTTCCCCTAATTGAAGTGAGATACTAACACATGGATAGTTTCAGAATTTGCTAGCCGCACCATCCCGCCAGGTAGCACCTCAGCGGCGTTCACTGCCCTCGCAGCCCTCTCTACCGTCCGTTCCATGTTCATCAAGAACACGGAGTCGTTCTCACTCTCGCGGCCCGCTAACGCGGAGGCATGGGCCGCACAGCATGTGGGCAAAGAGGCTTCTTCTCCTTGCGGCCACTGCGTCAAGAGGTTGGGTCCTTTCGGGGGCCAACCTTGCGTCATAGTGGATGGCCACTTGTGCGGCGCTTGAGCTGGGTGTCACTATAATAGTAGTGGCACACGCTGTGACTTCCGAGTGGTGGACCTCACTACCGCAGACGATGGGGAGGATGGTGTAGGTGGTGGCGTCAAAGCCACTTGGTGGCAAACCCGTCGCTCCTGGCCGCCGCAAGGGCAAGAAGCCTGAGGGCAAGAAACCCAAGGGCAAGAAGCCCAAGGGCAAGAAGCCTGAGGGCAAGAAGCCCGAGAAGAAAGGTAAGTCCCCTCCCTTCCCCTCCCCTCCCATTATAGATAGATACTAACAGATGAAAGCTGCATCTTCCGCCCACACCACCCGCACCCGCACCTGCACCCGCACCACCACCACCCATGGCTGCAATCCCTTCTCCCCTGGCCCCGACACCCCTCCCCAACTCCGCACCCTCTCCCCTACTATGTCTGGGGCGCTCCCGCCTCCTAGCCGCTCCCGCGGCCCTGCTACTCCCCGCCGCTCCCGCATCGCCGTCCGTGCACCCGCGCCCCCACCATCCCTATGGAGCTGGCTAGCCAGCTGGAACTTGCACGCGCTCTCCCGCCTGCTGCACGTGCCGCCCGCCACCACCGCCTCAGCTGGGCCCTGCTAGCCCTCGAGATGGCTGAGGATGAGGAGAAGGAGAAGGAGGAGGAGGAGGAGGATGAGGAGTGAGTGGCTGCGGCCCTCGTCCATTATTGTATAGTATTGTATAGATAGTAAATGAAATGCCTACAGGCTTTCCCTTGCCTCCCGTGCTCTTCTTGTCTTATGCTATATAGTATTGTAAACTATAATAAATAGTAGAGTTAGTAGACAGTAGTAATGTAAACCAAACGGATAACAGGCAATTAGCGGTCCGTTAACATATGTTATAAGCAAATAGCAGTCTGCTAACACGTAATGGAGGCAAATAGTAGCCTGCTAATAAGGTAGTAATAGAACAACTAATATAGAAACTACTCTATTGCCCTAAGCACCTCTGGATATACAATGTTTGAGGCTGTAGACATCTGTTCTTCAGCCGTTAAGACATGTAAACCATCAATGTCACGGTTCACCAAGGCATAGGGCGCCAGTTGGGTATTATGAATTAAACTCAATCTAGAGAAGAAAGGAAATGTTACGACGGAACAAGAAGGCTGGCCAACTACAGGACAGGAAGGAGGGAGGTCGCATGAGACCGGCCCTGGTACCTGGAGGGGCAGCGGGGAATAGTAGTTCTGAAAGTATCACGTGACGGACTCGCAGGATGATGAGAAGAGTCCTAAGAGTCCAGGACTCCGAGGACTCGAGTGAGTTCCCAGGAGTCCACTAGGCACGTGACGGACTCGCAGGATGATGAGAAGAATCCTAAGAGTCCAGGACTCCGAGGACTCGAGTGAGTTCCCAAGAGTCCACTAGGCACGACGCCACTATATAAGTAGATAGTATTTCCTTAGATAGGAGCTTCGTGCTCAACTCAATACAGTATTTGTTATATACTAGTAACGTGTTACTTGAAGCCTTTGTGTCTGATCCCCTGCCTCCTCTGATAAGTAAACCTTTACGCAAGAGAACCTCTGTGTCTTCTATCGTTTAGAAGTCAGCGTTACAGGAAAGAGACGAGGAGCACTCGAGCAGTGGCTCGATCTATATACAGCTATGTTGTTGTGGATGAATTCTCTTTAGTGAGACCAGTTCTGAGAATTCACTCCACAACTGAAAACTTCGCTCCAACCCCGGAAAGCTCCCCACACCCCTGAACCCCCACTCGAGCTGCAAGGCGCACTTGATATCGTAACAATCAACTGTTGACGTGCGGGACATAGCAACGTAAAACTGGCCATGACTAAAGCAAGGTAGCCGTAGATCGACACCAACAGTTTCAAAAGACTGCCCTTGCGACTTATTAATAGTCATAGAGAAGCATAGACGGACGGGAAACTGATACCGGGTAAGGATAAATGGATATTCACCTTCATCTGTCGATAATGGGATCTTAAACAGCACCTGTAACTGCCCTTGAAAGTCTCCCGTTAAGATGCGGACCTGTATAGTAAACCTCCATATAGCAGTTACTACCATCCGCGTCCCGTTACATAACCCAGCAGATGCGTTTAGGTTCTGTATGAGAATTAACGGAGCGCCACCTTTAGCTGTAGCACTGCAGGCAGGAGACTTGCAGTCTCAATAGTACTTAAGTATTCAGATGGTAGTATATGTATACCATCATCCTCATTCCAATCCGCTTTATCTCTAGATAGAAACAGATATAGCGGTCCGGGAAACTTAGTAAGGACCGCATGATTAACATTGTTGTAGTAAGGATAACAAAGATGCAAAGGCGTCTAGATCATCTATAGCATGTAAGAGTAGCGGCTGTGGATATACCTTATTGACTAAGTCCGCGAATGTAGCTGGCTGGCTAACATAAGGTGGTATTGTAGTAGTAGGGCACTTTAGCGGATCGTAAGGAATGCTCCCAACCCATGTGATGAAGGCAGCGTTATGTTCTCCCAGACCGCTAACACGCATATTCGTCTTTAAACGTAACTGTGATAAACAGTCCCATATCGCAGACTTCTGAATGCAAGCGCCAATTATCTGCGCCCGAGAACCCTTTGGCATAACTGGTAATATCTGTGCAAAATCACCCCCTAACACAACTGGGACGCCTGCAAATAGCGGTCCGTTATCAGGAATAGACCGTATGTCACATAGTAGTCGGTGGGCGACCTCAAAACAGAACTTATGCTGCATTGGCACCTCATCCCATATGATCAAATCCACAGCACGGAGTATATCCGCAGGCTGCGTATGCTTTGCAACCTTGCTTATGGAGTCGTCATGGACAGGTACTGGTATACCAAAATGACTATGTGAAGTCCGACCGCCTGGAAGTAATAGGGCTGCTATTCCAGTTGATGCAGTACAAATAACAGTTTTCCCTTTACCACGCATGTAATGGCAAGGGCCTTATATAGGAATGTTTTCCCAGTCCCTCCAGGCCCTTGGAGATAGAAGTGGGCAGTTAACGGATCGCTTCCCATAGCCGTTATGATTGTATTAAAACATGCAGCCTGGTCAACATTTAACTGTGACTGATGCATAGCATCATACACGTTAAGTTCAATAGTAAAGTCTACACCCCAATTAAATGTATAAGAGGGCAAACTAACATCCGCTAAAGACTTCCGTGTCTCTATAAGCAGGGTTTCTATAATGTATAGACCATAGTCACACTGTGGGAGTAATAGCGGCAAAGGGAACCAAGAACTGGGCCGTTGTAGACTCTGCTGTAGCTTCCGTTGTAGATCTTCGCAAAACGGCTCTTTAAATTGGTCCCAAAGCTGTAACGGGTTAGGAATTAGGCCTTGGAGTAAACCTGTTATAAACATAGTGCATAGCTGAGCAGGTAAGGCATATGTAACAGCTTCATTAAAGCAGTGTTCCCAATCCTTATTATCATCTGCTAAGCCGCGAGCAATGCACGCAGCTTGATAGGTGTCGTAGCGGACGTCCGCATGCCAGTATAAGTCCTCAAACCCCTTTGGACCATGGACAACCGTTAATAGGAGTCGTAAGTAGTACCGCTCCCCAGAACTTGGACTACAGTGATAAATCCGGCCAATTGCAAAACCACACTTGCGGATCCGCCACACTTTATCATTCCAAACGTAGTGCTGAGGAAACTCATGATATAACAGGTGGCGACCATCAGCATATAGCGTGTTATAGCGGAAGAACGCTACCAATGAGGAAGTAGAACCATTAGCAGTCCGCTCAAGAACCTCAGCTGGGTCATCGTCTGGACGAAACTGAACAGAGTGATTACCCTCTGTATGCATCTGTAGCCGTTGAACAGGTGGATGTTCACCATGTGTAGAATACTCCATGATCCGCCAATAGGCCTCAATAGGAGTAACGTATCGGCCGTGAACATATTGCTTTAACTCATCGCCTGTGAACTGGTCAACCTGCACAGTAGCACGGTCCGTTCCCTTATAAATATACTTGTGAATATATTTAACAGCCTTAACGCTTGAGCAAAGCTCTACATTAATATGTGCCTTATACCGTTGTATAGATAGGGGTTATAAGGAACCACCCAACAGTTGTCACGAATGCGTCCATTCTCATCAGTATAAGTATCACCACGTCAGCGACGATACTCTGCCTTATGGTCATCTGTGCAGATAGTATCCTCCTGAAACGGCCAAGGATACTGCTTCTGGCAGCGTAAACGGTCCGCTGGAAGCTCTAGCGGACGGCACGCTTTACCATGACAGGGGCCGTGTGTCATCTGCTTAGTAACAATTGACCGCAAAGACCCGTCAACATCCCATAACGGGTCAGGTAGCTCAGCACATATGACGTTATCAATAAGATGGGCTCATAAGCTCGTGCTGATAATCAGGTCGTAGAAATAAGCAGAGGTGCATATGTGGTAGTCCACACTTTTGATACTCAATAGTATAGCAATGGCCTGCGTACGGCCCAAGAACACCATCCGCTAAGTCCTTTAATAAGGAAGTAACCTTGATCTGAAAAATGTCTCCTATAATATCTGGCCGGTCAAGGTGCGTTTGACCTGGTAAAAGCTGTGCAAGCACCTCTGGCCAGTGTGGGTTGGCAGTAAAAGTGATAAAATATGTAGGCTTTCCAAAATAGCGACATATAGCTAGGCTGCGCACTGGGTACTCACGAGTCGAGTAGTAGAATTTTTACTCACCCAGCTGAGTTACTCACTCATGTCCCGAGTATTGTTGAATGAGGATTACTCACTTGCTGAGTACCTAGTATGGGTCTTGGCAACTCAGTTATATCACGTGTTTGATTAGCCATTACTTATGTTAAAAACGGGGTGCGACTTCATTGATCAAGACGCCATAACTCCAACTCCATTCCCATATTGTTGATGTCCTATTCCACACTATAACCTTTGGCCTTTAGGTACCAGGTTACCAGATGGTTGCCAGAACTCATCTGACCTTCATTCCTGGGTGAGAGACATTTCCATCGATTAAGCCCACAGCTTAAACATCATATCCTGCAAACGCCGAACCAATATCATACCCTTTGCCTGAATTGTCACTCTCTTCGCATGAATAGCGAGGAGGTTTGTCACTATAACTGTTAGTATGTCCCTGTCACTATGTTTAAACATCATACTCTCAAATTCTCGAATGAGGAAGCATTCAGCAGCTTCCTAAAGAGCTAGGATAGCAGATTGCTGGAAGCGAAGATTGGACTTGAAGTCTTCTGTGATTTCCCTAACAAGACGCTGGAATGGGAGCTAGTATCAAGTTGCTGTCTTCTGATATCGCGGAGAGCCTTGGTGCCTATATGTTTATTAGAGAGTTCTGGTAATCCTCTGGTAATCCTCTGGTAATCCTCTTACTAGACTTTGTGCAGCGCGTGGCCTTCTGAGCATGATTGTTGCTAGCTTGAGATGAGCAAACTGGAGCTTTTCTTGCTGTGCCCACAGCCTTTTCCTGTCCCTTTCCGCCAAGCCCAGAGCCAGCCCGTAATCCAAGTGGCATCCTTGGTGCTATGCCGCCAGTTGATCTCCTAGCAGTTTGCTTGGTACGAGTCATTTGCTAATATCAAGGTGAGTTAGTAAAGTAAACACAAGATAAAGAAGTAGATCAAAAGATATGTGTACTTACAGTGAGTTTGTAGAAAGAATATTG